TGTGACGTCACTAGCAGACCCACTCAACACAGCAAGACGCCAGGAGCAACAGAATAGGATTAATTGAATCATTTGACATAATACTAAAAACCAATAAGCAAATAAATCATAGTAACACATTAAAGAGAATTTTCATTTAAATTGAGGTTAGGCCCTTTGTCTAGGTGTAACAGATAGGAATAAATCTCACTGAGGTGGTTAATATCAGATTTTTTGTTCATACAATTATCACTCTGAGAAATGAAAGCCATCTCTCCACCCTGAAAGATGCGCTTTGGCTGATCATGTACATTCACTCCAGCACCAAATGGACTATGACTCTGTGAGAGTTTTAACCAGTGAATCCCACTACTCAAAGAGACTCTTCAAAGAGATGGCTTTCATTTCTCAGAGTGATAATTGTATGAACAAAAAATCTGATATTAACCACCTCAGTGAGATTTATTCCTATCTGTTACACCTAGACAAAGGGCCTAACCTCAATTTAAATGAAAATTCTCTTTAATGTGTTACTATGATTTATTTGCTTATTGGTTTTTAGTATTATGTCAAATGATTCAATTAATCCTATTCTGTTGCTCCTGGCGTCTTGCTGTGTTGAGTGGGTCTGCTAGTGACGTCACATCGAATGTGGATCAGTTCATTCAATGGAACATAGCGTTGTATACCTAACCTAACTTTACAATGACATATGTCTTAAGTCATTAATTCAACAGGTGATCTTGACGGCCAGCTGGTTCTGGTTGACATTTAAATTTAAAAGAAAATTATTTTTTAATATAATAATTCCAAATTACACATTTGATGGATGATCCTCAAACCCAGGGTGATATATTGTAAAAGTCTCTCTCTGTAACTATTTAATATTTTAATATGTTGTATTGTCCCATTTACACAATCTTTCATCCTTTCTCAATAATTTTTAACAAGCTTATTATGTATTAATGACTAATAATTAAGTTCTCACTGTCCTCGATGCTGATGGAACAGATCAATTACACAACATTTATCTTTAATAATCTCACCAAAGATGTAAGTTACATTATAGTATTGTCTTATTGTCTTTAACTTGTATATTGATCCATAGTTCCCTGAAGATGATAATAAACATTATCGAAAGCTCGGATAAACTTTAAAGAGTACACTTTATTTTTGCTGCATTCCCCAAATCGATTCCCAAAATTATATATATATATATTTTTTTTTTTTTTAATGTAAACAAAGAAAACAAAACACAATAGTTTTAGGGTGACTCGAACATTTTTTCATGACAGAGTAGATTATTTTCGTTTCTTCTAATGCTTTTTGATTGAACTTTTGCAAAAGCAATAATATTTTTGGCAAATATAACAAAACTGAGTCTCCTCTGGAAAGGCTGTGTATAGATCCGTTGTATAAATTTCAGTACTGGTTCTAAAAACCAAAAAAGTGGTAAGTATTAACCGCAGTCAGGTTTAATTCTCTATTTACTTACACAAAAAAAAAAACACTCACAAAGTCCATTCTGTAAATTCAAAAACTGCAGCTGGTAAAGGTTTTCCAATATTTTTCTCACCTCTGTATATCAAGGCAGAACTACCATTGTTTAGTTTTTTAATTTCGTCTTCGGTAAACTCATATCTCTTGGGAAGAAAAATGGACTTTCCATCTTCCAATGCTTCCAAGAATCGAAAAAAAAATAATGCGTGAATAAAGTAACGCTATGGGAGTTATGACATGCAAAATCGGAAACTAAGCAACGTGAAAAATCCTGCTGGATCACAAGATTGTGCTACAAAATTCTACACAGATGAAAAGCTTCAAGAAATCTCAGAGACCTTCAAAAGAGATCTGCAAAACCAAGTGAAAAAAGTTAGTGGCCCACCCTCACAAGAAGTCTTTGAGAACAGGTTCAAGAAAATAGAAACTTCAATGAAAGACAGTCAGGATAAAGTTCAAAGTTTAATAACTAAGAATCAGTCTATTGAAAATGATATTAAAACAAAATTGGCTGTACGAATATCTGCCTTAGAAGAACAACAGAAGCTGTTTAATGTAACGAAAAATTATATAAGCATTGTTGACAAGAGAATAGTTAGAGCTGCAAATGCTATAAACGACAACGACTTAGTGACCAAAGGTCAGGTAATCAAAATGATTAATGAGAAGGTGAAGCCACCTGTAGAACCAGCTGCGGATAAAAAAGGAAAAGGAAAGGGAAACAAAATTTAGCGCAATAATTGTCTACGTGTATTCGTTGGTCTAGTTTCAGCTTTTGAAGATGTGTGATCAATTATTGAAATTCCTATCGGGGGAAAAAAATATAGAAGACTGTAGTGCTGAGGAGTTGAAAGATTTATCAATTGGGTTTTTTCTACAGTATGTCGATAGCACTGCACTTTTAAATATTTGGGGAAAACTACCACTTGAACACAGGCGTGCTGTTTCATTCATTACAATAGACCTGATTGGAGAACGCACGTAGATGGACCTCCCTCCTCACAAAACCAATGTTATTTCTGTATAAGAGCTCTGGCCAAATAGTGGATGTTTCATTCATGTAACAGCAATGGTTTGGCAGCAGTGGTTCAAAATGTTCTCTACATACATCCACCATCAGATGTCCGAAATATCAAAGCTCAGCAGAAAACTGATAGCTATTCCAACGATTTATGGGTTCCGCTTTACTACCGCCTCATAGACAACGATCGTACACGTACTTTCCAGACAGTACTTCCAGAGTCGCGGAATAGATTCTACCAGTATAAATTGCAAGTGGAATTCCTGAACAACAGCATTTTAGAAAGCAGGGAATGGACAACTATCGGAATTGGTCCGCAGCAAGAAACCATCTCTAAAATCCTCTGTAGAAACGAAACTATAAACTCCACTTCAACCGATTCGAGACCTGATGCATCTATTTACTTAATCTATACCTGTTTAATAACCATAGCTGTAGTTTTTGGTATTTTATTGTCTAGAATGTTCTACCTAATTATAAGAAAAAGCAAATGTGATTATTTTAAGGTTTAATGAATAAAATTTTACCGAAAAATTGTTGTTTCATTGAACTTCATGGCCAATTGCATCAAATAACACACAAACGGGGGCACCTGAGCCTGGGAACTTTTTCGATACCGTGGGAAAATCTCTAGATCGGCAACGCCTCTGATCTGAAATTTCTGGGGTTTGACCCGGGCCAACCTCAAATTTTTTGGGATTTTCCCGGAATTTGATCCCAGCGAGAAACCATCTCCAAAACGCCTCGGACACCTACAGCAGGTACCGATAATTACAAAAGCCCCCGATTCCTAGGGGTATTAGAGGTATCCGAACCTAGATGGCGTATCATACGGCAGGTACCGTTAATTACAAAAGCCCTCGGAGCTATTATAGGCAACTGAACCTATAAATGGCGCACCGGACACGTGCAGCAGGTACGGATATATGGCGCGTGCAAGCGTGCTGGAAGCTCCTCCGGAGGACGGAGGTTGCAGAAACCCCATATTATACCTACTTAATATTACTTCTAATAACTTCAAGACTGAGTAATTTTTTAGTCACATAAGAAAAGAGCCTAAAATCAACCCCTAAATACGATTCCCGCTTTTCTTCCGAGGGGTCCCAAAATGAACTTTTGGTTGACGTCGCGTTCTTATCAGCGAGCCCGATCGACAGAAGCCAATTTCCTTCGGCAGAATCGGATTTTCTTGCGTATGTTTTCCCGCGGTTATCTCCCGGCCTGATCTTCTTTTTTTTTTTTTGGTTCGGCGAATTTGTCAGCGAGTGAACTTATGAGAGTTTTTTTGAAAAATTAATTTTCCCGTTTAAAGAGAAATTTCATTATAAACTTGAGAGAAAGTCCTGCGGGAATACCGCGGAACAAAACAGGAAAAAGTTTCTATGCCTCCTTTGCAAGAGCGAAGTTTTAATTTTTGTTTCACAATAAGAAAATAAAAATCAATTTCTGTAGGCACTAGTCCAAAAACCATCATTTTCATAAATCCCCCTATAACCCAAACAAAATTATATTTCCATAATCTTCTTATTATATTTAGTGTCTTTTTTACGCCCAATAAATTGCCCTTTTTTCTTGTGCATGCATATTATTCCTGTCTTTATCTGATTTATAAGTTTTTGTCCTTGTTCGTTTTATGTGTTCAAACGATCCAGAGGAGTGTGTGTGTGTGCGGGGAGTCATAAATAACGTCAAGCAGTGAGCTCCTTTTGCTCGTAAGTGATAGAATATACATATAAATGCGAAAGAAACCGCATTTCGAGAAAGTGAATGTCGTAAAAAAGCCTCTTGGGGGCACGTATATTATTATGATGGGGAGGGGAATAAAAAAACATATGCATTGTGAAACGAGATTTCTATTTATTGTTTGAGATTCTGAAATACTAAAACTCTCCCCTTGTAGAAATCGTAAAACAACAGCGGGAGTTTAAGATTTTGATTGCCCAAGTCCTGGAAATAATAACCAAGAGTCGTCATAATAGGACTGGTAGCAAATTGTACATTAAACTACAAACCGAATCCATATTTTAGAGAACGATCCAAGAGATACGAGGTAGGCCACACGTGACCCAGAGGAGGGGGCGGTTTTGCGGTCGGCTACGACTGGTTTACGAGAGGGTGGAGGGCACGGTCAAACGGCGGTGTAGACACTTTCAATTTATCGGTACAATTAAACGGTAGCTTCGTATGGATATTAGTAGACTTGCTAATAATGCTCTTGGGTTTAAAAAAAAAATCGAGTCGGCATTAGGTCGTATGGGGTTAAAAGTTAGACACAATCTAAGTTTAAGGCTCATAAAATCGGTTGTTACCCATAAAAATGTTAATGAAACACACATAAAAGCCGCTTGGTGCACTTAGATGTCGTAAAATTTCCCTACGTTGTTAAAAGGTTCTATTTTTGTTTAACGGGCAGGAATTTTTGAGTCCATTAAGAGCGCTAGTTGTAAATTTCGTGTTTATGAACCCTTTAATGAATAATACATTTTTTTTCAGGTCAAAGTAATGCTGCGTGTGTCAAATTCGATACCAGACACCGGTGGGGGTGGTTTCTTCAGTTTGGACAAGCGAAAAAAACAAGTCACCCTGGTGGATCCGAGCATCTTGAACGGTTCCACCGCTCCAGAGGATCGTCGAGTAGGCGTAGCAGCTCCAAAAATGTTCGCATTCGATGCAATTTTCTCACAAGACGATTCACAGGTAAGAATGTCCTTTTTCTCTTCAGCTCTAAATTGACCCGTTCGACTTAATTAAATCACGAACAGGCATTTTGATTAAATTCCTTCGCGCGCTCCGGGAATGGCTAAGGAATTTTTAAGTCCACTTTATTTTGTCGCACGTTTCGGAATTTGCTTTAGTCAATACAAACATTTGATTGTTATGAAATATATGAACTTAAATCTCGTCTCAACGTCAAGACACGTTTTGAACGTCATCATCTTTCGGGGCAATAGCACCAGACAGCAGCAGGCAAAATCGGGACACATTAGGCGAAATGTCACGTCTCGAGAAATATTTTCTAATTTAACTTGGAAGTACTTGAGGATCATCATCGTCTCCTGGCGTCGGTCCGCATAAGTCTGTGTTTGGTTGTTTTTTAACAGTGGCGTAGGAATTTTGTACACCTATTCCACTATTTGTAACATGTTTACTGTCCCATGGAAGTTGTTTCAGCAAACCAAAAACTTTTGGGCCAGGTGATATCAGTGAGGACATCCTGGAGCTGTAAGTTCTTTGGTTGAGGGATAAAAATCTGCCGTTTATAACTATTTGGTTGGTTTTGGACTGCGCCAATATCAGATATCGATTTACCCAAGGTCTGTTTTGTTAGCGGCTGGATTCTTAAAAAAGATGCGTGCAAATCAGATTTGAAGATACCGCAGTTGGTTGTTAGAGGCTGTCCACAAGGTAACGTTTTATCGCCGCTGTTATGGAACAACATCCTCTTAGACCGCTTCAACTCTAACGGATTTTCTGCAATTGCTTAAGCACACGACCTGTCGATACTGCTCAATGGAAAATTTGAAGGAGTCTTGTGCATCATTGTCGGAAGCACTCCCTGTTTATCCACTATGAACTTTTGGTCGACGTCTGACCCCATGAAGAAGGACGTTACCTCTTAAGGCACTCATTCTACTAAACACGCAATTAGATTTCTCCAAGGAGGTGGTATACTGTATACCTTGGTATCACTCTAGACGCAAAATTAAATGGATTTTTCACCTTGAGTGAGATATTTTAGGAGCTGGAACTGAATGTGCAAAGTTTTTAGTGATACTGAAACATTACTTTTCAAGAGGACGAGGCTGGAAATAACAATGGGGATGCAAAGATTTGAGGGATCATGAATACAATACTTAATGAGTTTGAAGCCTAGACGTAAAAAAATCTGAGCATTTTCAATTTGGTTGTATATCTGTAGCTGAAAAATGGAAACGTCAACAGTCAGATGAAATAATCTCACATGATGGGTTCAAGTAGCTGGGAGACGTAAAAAAATACGTGTATATTTCAATTCTAAAACTGGAGGAATTATTCCAATGATATCCTTATTCGCAAGACTTAGTGCTTTAGGTGGTCTTGCTGGAGGTGCATCTGCCATAGCAAAAACTGTTATAGAGGCTGAAAAAGGGTCGCGTAAATCGAAATACATGGAGGAAATCGGAAGAAAAGGCACGGGACTGTAGATTCCTGGAAAAAACTTTAGGAGAATTTGGTTTATAGGTACTTGGAAAGGCAACAATAGTCAAAAAACTCCCAGTGAAGCTACCTAATAGATCCTTACATGATTATGAGATTTTGTAAACAAATTAAAAGTACCATATTTCATAGGAGTTTTTATACGTAATACTTTTCCTAAAAAACCTTACTTACAGAGAACAACGCCAACTAAAAATGGAAATAAATTCTCTGCCTGTCACCCCTTGCGAGTGAGATCTGGAGATACAGGGCGGTCAGGAACTTGAGAAGAAAGCACCTAGACGCAGCAGCCAGACCACTGCTGTTTCCTACGTGTATAACCTACGCCACCACACCGAATAATCCACTATAAGTCCTGGCAGGACTCCATCCGCTATGGATCGAGGCAGATGAAAGACGACGAGACTGGCTAGCGAAATACAATGACATACAGACCGCCAAAGTCAAAACTACAAATAAAACACAACCGACTGTAAAGGGAAGACTTGAGATGCTTCTTCTTCTTGCCGTGCCATCTCCTTACAAAGGTTGGCTATCATCAGGGCTCTAAATAATTAATTTGATATCATTGGAAACTATTATTTGAGGTTTTTTAACCAGGAGGTGCTTCTTCTACCCTAACTACGTCTTCCTTGAATTTTTCCTTCCATAATATTCTGTAATAACTGGTATTTAGGACCTCTCACAACATGTGCAAAGTATTCCAGTTTCTTTCTCTTCAGTATCTTATGTATTTCTTCTTCTTTGTGCATACGGCCAAAAACCTCGACATTTGTGATATTGTCAACATAAGAAATTCGTAACATACGACGATAGCACCATCATCTTTCCAATGCCACTAGTTTGTTAATTTCGGCTGCTTTAAAAGTCCAAGCCTCGACACCATATAATAGAATTGAAAGTACATAACATCGAAGCATTCTGATTCTTAATTGCAGGTTAATATCTCTACTGCAAACACATTTCTTGAGTTTGAGAAAACAGTTTCTGGCTATCTCGATTCTCGATTTTATTTCTTGTAATTGTTCAGCAGCCTGGTATACTACTGTGCCCAAATATTTGTAGTATTGGACTCTTTCGATTGGCGTATTGTCTATTGATAAATTGTTAAATTTGTTGGACGTTTACTCTGATTCCTTCGTCTCCTTCTCCTAAGCCTTCTTGAAAGATTGCCTCACTATATACGTTAAAAAAAAAGGGGGGACAAATTACATCCTTGACACATACCCCATTGTATTTCAATATCTTCTGATAACCAATCATCTAATCTGACCTTAGGGGTATCTCGACTATCAATATTTTTCCTAATGCGTTTCCGAAGCCCATGGAACAAATTGTATATACCTTGGTTTACGTCCAAACATCTTTGCAGTAGAATATATTTTAATCCATTGAATCTTGAATCCCATCTGACTATCACTAATTTCCATATCTAATTTTTCATATATATTGTGTTGTGAATGATACGTAGTAGAACCTTTACTGTATGACTCATCAGATAAATCGTAAATTCGATAGTCAAAGCAATATTTAGCGTTTGGTTTTTTGAGCAGTGTTATAAATATGGATTGCAACTACTCTTTGGGTATAATGCCTGCCGTGTATACAGCATTAAAGAGATCGACTATCATGTCAACAATTTGATAGGAATTTCATCTGAACCACTTTTTGTTTGCCTTATGGCATAGATCACTTCTTCTTTAAGAATTTTTGGTTCTGTGTTTCCTGTGAGATCCAAATGCAAGTCCGATCTAGTATCATGAAAAAAGCTTTTTGAGTTAGTTAGTCTATTCTGTAAGCTGTTGCTTGATGTCTATTATAATATTTCCTTGTGCGTCTTTAAGTATGATTGACGATTTATACTTTTTCAGCCTGCCATTTCTTTGATTTTCTTATGCATATTGAAGCTATCATATCTCCTTTCATACTCCTCAAAGTTTTTTCTTAACCATTCTTTTTTTGCCAGTTTAATTTAAGTTTTGATTTGGCAGTTTAGTCTGGCATATTCGTCTTTTTTTTTCTTGTTGTGTCTTCGCTCATCCATGATCCTTAAAATTTCTTGGGTCATCCATATTTGTTTTGCTGCATACTTTGTTGGTGGCAGTGTGGCGCTTGCTTTTGTCATAACATTTTGAATATTCTGCCATTTATAGTTAACTTCTGTGCTATTTCGAGTGTTTTGTGCTAGATTTTGTAAATTTCTATCAACTTTTTCTTGTGTTTTTTGTCGCACTTCAGGATATTTCAAAGAGATAACAAGAATTCCTTGATTTTTAGTTTTAGAGTTTATCTTCTTGAAGTTCAGTTTAAGTTTAATTTTTGTTATTGGAGGATTAGGATCGGAGTTGACATCTGTACCCGAGTTCTTATATTATTCTCTTATGATTATCAAATCGATCTGATTTCTCACTATGTCTCTGGGCCCTCTGGTTTCATCTGCTGGAGATTTCCACGTGTAAAGTTTTCGTTTAGGTAGTTTGAAGAAGGTGTTTGTAATAATCAGACTTTCAGACTGACAGAATTCTACCAGCCGGTCTCCACTCTCATTTCGTTGGCCAAGTCCAAATTTTCCCACGCAGTTCTCTACCTCTACTTTACTCTTTTCTTTGGCATTAAAATCACCAACTATCACTGTAAGTTCATGGATTTTTGTTGTTCTGAGTGCCAAAGTTAGCTCTTCATAGAATGATTCGAGTTCGTGCTCGCTCTCTTCTGCAATAGGGGCATATATTTGTATAACATTGACGGCCGTTGGCCTAACATGCTTAGGGCAAGCAATTGAACAGAGGTCCATGTATATGCCAGTGTGAACCAGAGAGGTAGAAGTGGGTCTCCGTCACAAAGTGAGAGAACTCGACATTGTCACTATGGACAGCGCAGAAATGATGGCAATTTTAAAAGGAATTCAGATAGGGTCACAGATATCAGACACAAACATAATCATAACCACGGAGAGAAAACAGGCACTCGACAAAATTAATACAGGAACAGAAATTCGGGCAACAGAGAAGCAGATAATTTGACAAAACTCGCAAGAGAGGAAATAGAAATATACGAGGATCTGAGGGAATACTGCCAGACAAACAGAGTAAAACGTAAGGCTGACAGAGACCGCAGGACGATGAAGAAATGACAGAGAGCATGGTCTACAAGCTTGGGGATATTCAGAGGATCTCCAGAGACATCCCGGGATTTCCGGCGATGTTCTAGGATTTTGGGGGATTTCCGGGGATATTCGGGGATATTTAGGATGTTTAGGGGATGTCCATGGGACGTCCGAGGATGTTCCAGGAGATGTGGGGATGTCTAATGAAAAAATCGTGGCATTTTCTAAGTTAACAGAGATATTTCCTTCATTCCTTTGTTCTTTTATGAAAGTAACATCAGCTGCAAGGTATACCCTTCTTTATCCACCAGCGTATGTGTATATATTTAAAGAAATTTAAAAGAAAACGAACATTCAAGAGCCGGGAATAGTCCAAAAATTAAGATGGAAAAACTGGGAATTAACTAGAGAAGAAATGTAGAAGAATTGAGAAAAAAAATGGTAGATTAAAGGACATTCATGTTTTTTCTATTCCAGGCTCTTGAATTTTCTTCTTCGACAATTTCAAGAGTTGGGAATAAAGAAAAATTGAGCGGGAAAATTTGAAAAATGGAAAAAAGAAATTCAAGAGAAATTGAGAAAAAAATTATTGGTACACGAAGTATTTTGATTCTTCTCCTAGCTCCTGGAAATTTTAGAAGGAAACGAAAATTCAAGAGCCGGGAATACACCAAAATTGAGACGGAAAAACTGAGAATTAACTAGAGAAGAAATATCAGAGATGTACAGGAGGAAGAAGAGATGTCCTAATATGTCCAAGGATTTTTGAGGATGTCTAGGGATGTCCGAGGATGTCCAGGGATGTCCGAGGGTGTTCTGGGATGTCCAGGGATATCTTGAGGTTGTCCGGGGATATCATTCAGTAAGGGGAATCTGGTGTTCAGATTTTGCTCAGCAGTTCACCCCTCGGACAGGACAGAATATACCTGACTTTGTTGATGGGGTAGGGTAATTTTGGAAACTACGTACACCGTTTCAAACTCCTCCAGATGGAGGAGACTTGCACCTGGGATGTGATCAGCATAGAGGACACATGGCATGTGAAAGAGGCGTGCAACCTTGTAGAGAGACAGCAATTTAAAAAGCAAAGACGAACAAGCTAACAATCACTCAAGATATGGGAATAGAACAATACCAAAACAAATCTTAAAGATCAACAAATGGGCAGGAGTGGCAGTCACAGTCAAAAAACCGCGATGTAGAAGGTTAAGCAGCGAAGATAAGTTTGTTAGCAAACACAATCATAACAAACAACATAGGAGTATACAACAGTGATCCAGAGACAAAACAGATAATAATAATAACGATAATAATAATAAAAGCGTGCAAAAAATGAAACAAGGTTTTAGTTTTAAGCCATTTCAACTCAATTTTTTTTTCTGAGATACGGATACGATCAAACTTTCTCAAACCATAAACGAATTGGCATAGCCGATCTGAATTTTTTGTAACCTGTTTTGATCAGCAAATCTGAAGGAAATTAAAAAAAATTACAGCTCCAACTCTCGCTAATTTGATATAGTTGGCGCTGGATTGCAAGGGTCTCTCGTTGCTGAGAAAGGGTTCCACTAGCGGTGGTTTCCCTATATAGTGGGGTATGTGCACCAATTCGGGCATCAGACGCTAATGCTGAAAGACACGTAGCAAATAGGTATGTAAGTTGCTTACGATCAGACCATTTTCTGACCTAAGTTAGCGTTTTCGATTCCCATTTGTCGATCAGTGTGCACTGAGAGCATTGACATCTTTTTCTAAAAGCATGTAAAATATAAGGATAAAAGTAGTTTTTTTTTTGCACTGATTCTGCGTGTGGAAATCGCTATCAGTTATTTTCTTTAAGTTAGGTTAGAAACTTGTTTGATCGTTAGCAGCTTCACATTCTCGATCCGATAATCGAATTAAATGTCACTTGAAATCTACCTCAAGAAAGTGGCTTTTATGACTATCCGTAGGCTGGAAGCAGTTGGTGCAATAACTAGCATGGGCTGTCAAGCCGAAAGATGCCACCTGTGGAAGGAGGTAGCCAACAGACAACCTTTACTGCAGGCTAGGGTAGATAATATAACTCCTCAAAATTTATTCTCGAAGCTTGAAGCTGGAACTTAAGTGGTCTATGGATGAACATGCTAACGTAGTCCAAACCGAACTGGCCGGCATATCTATTGCCGTTAAAGTCCACAGAAACATCGAGGACAGAACAATCATCATCTCTCTGACAGTAGACAAGCCTTATTGGCCATATATAGCCACAAATTGCTGCGAGGTCAATACTAGAATGTCACAACTCACTGGCAGTTGCTGCCCTAATAAACAAACTGTGTACCAGGTGGGTCAAGAGGCACGCGCAGAGTCGTGGCATTAACTCAGCAGACAGACTGGTGAAGGCAGATTCCAGCTCTCCGATGTTGGGACCTGGTCCTTCCCATCTGCCTCTTGCTACTCTGACTCAGATGATCAAAAACATCATCCTTGAAGAGAGATGAAACTACCGCCTGTCAACTAATTAGGAAACTGCTCAACTACTCTAAAGAAGTTGAAGCTAGAACGTACTTGGACCTGTCAAGAAAAAAACCTTCGGTTTACCACAGTGTTTCTGTCAACTGTCAGCTAAACATCTCCATTCAATGAGATTTATCGAGTCACCTCTGTGCAAGGGGACGTGTGTCCCTGGTTGATGTTAGGTACTGTCCACCCAAGTTAAGAACACCAGTTAAAAAAATGTGAAGAATTCAAGTTCATAGAAAACATAGTTGTCACGTACACTCACTACAAAAAAATGAGGCGTTTGTTGATGAATATTTGTTAACAATTATTAAACGCCTCATTTTTTTGTAGTGAGTGTACGTGACGACTATGTTTTCTATGAACTTAAATTCGTCACATTTTTTAACCAGTGTTCTTAACTTGGGCGGACAGTATAGAGGGTGGATTCTTTACCTTTTCCTACATCTGAACATCGACGGGGATGTAGACTGCATGGTACTTTAAAACTGCGCGAACGCCTCCATCTTTCAATTGAGGGTAAAGACGCCGAAACCGTAGTAACAAGATATGAAGTGGAGATGCACGCCATCTCGACGGTGACCTGTCAAACGTTATACAGAAACTACTTCTTCGACGTTCTGGCCTTTCCAATTCAGGTGTATGCATGGCTAGCATAGGGTAGAACCCTGTACACGCAGAGGCACTAGTATCCAGGCTGAGTTGTGAAAGTAGACTACATGACCTGCACCTGTGAAAACTTCAGTGGAACCCGATATCCCTTAATTGGTAAGGCAATGCGGCAGAAGCTGGAGTAACGATATGTAATAGAGGAAGGTCTAACGTTGTTATGGGAACATAGTTAACATGGGTAGAGGGAGAGAGAAAGCCCCATCTTCTGTCTGGTTTACTGGAACCCTAAGCCAAGAATTCAAGAGCGGCGGCCAATTGCGAAGGATGACCGGGGAGAGCGATCGGATTCCTGTAACCCAAATTCCTAAGCATGCTGCGGATAGGGCGGTTCCCCAAGGTTGAGGAAGTAACACAGTAAGCTTAAAAATAATTAATTCCTTTTGAATTATTACATGAGAGGACATTGTCTCATAGTATTTAATTACGTTATCAGACGGTATTTGTTGACAGGTGGGTATATTTTTCAAGATCAAGTTGAATTCATTATGCTGCAGTATTGTATAGTGCATTATGCTTGTGTGTATAAAACGGATTGCGCCAGCCGAAACACGTTGGGGACACAGGAAGACGAAACAGTGGAGCATCTGCTTTGCCGCTACGATGCCGTCTCAGACCTAAAGGACGCAGGCCTGATACGATCTTTCTGAGAGAAGCCCCTTCCAGGTACACCTGTTTCTGGACCTGTATAGCTGTCTACACATTTGTCTATAGGATAGTCCGAGAGTGAAACGACAATACCTGATGCACTGACGGGTGATTATGACTTCGTACTAGGACCTGAAATGCGATCCGTCTAAGCTGAAAGCAGTCGATTGATGACCTTGAACGGTACAAAAAAGTGCAGATTGGACATTAGATTTTCCTATGGAGTTTAACATGGGAAAATGGGTGATAGTGCGCCAGCTCTGTCCTAGCACCTTCACTTATTGTCATCTCAGACAAGGAAAGCAACAAAGATGTGCGTCATAGTCATCGTAAACATGTCTGTGTGGTAAAGGGTGGGTTCTCTACATCTGAACATCGACGAGTATGTAAACTGCGGGTAAGGGTGTGTGCTATGCACCCTTGAAACTGGAGTAACGATATGTAGTAGAAGTATGCGAAAGCGCCTCGGCGGCCGCTCTTCTGACGTTGTTATGGAACATAACTAAGACAAGTACTGGGGAGAGAGAAAGCCCCATGGGCCTGGCTTCCCATGTACTCTTTTTTGAGGTCGGCCTCTCAGGGGCAGTGGTCAGCAGAACCCTAGGGACCGCATTGGGTATAGATTTCTCTGTCAGGATGAGATGCCCGAGGGGTAGCTTACCGGAACCTATAACCGAGAATTCAAGTGCGTGGTGGCGGCCAAGTGCGAAGGATGACGCGATACTATCGGGAAGTACCGAGAAGCGCGAATGGACTCCTGTAACCCAAGTAACCAAGCGTGCTGCGGGTAGGGCGGCTCCCCATGGGTGAGGAAGGGACACCATTTGGCTTAGCAAGTACCGCCAACCGGCACACAGAAGGACGAACACCTGATTTGCCCCCGAGATGTTGTCTCGGACCTAAGGGAGCGCAGGCCTGACAGGCCTGACACGGCCTTCAGGGTATATATACCTCCGCCTTTTTCAAAACATTGGACTGGATAATAGTCTGGAGTATTGGCAGGATCGGCAGGTCGCACAAGGGGTCCGATGAAATACCCTCCACCAAATCCAGATCCAGATACCAAATCAACTTTTTTTTTGCTGATTATTACGTAGCAACTTATTCGAAGCTCCAATTTCGGTTTCCGCAACTTTGATGCTTGAGGACCCACTGTTTAGTACTTGTCAAATATCCTGACACAATTCCCCATTGAACTCGAACAAATCTAATATATCTTTCCTCAAATCGATTCGCTCAAATCTGGCAACGGTGTCGCGGCCTACTACAATAAAGGGAGCATAAATTCTTCGGGTGCAATGCGACACAATCCGAAACGTAATAATAAATTAGGCTGCAATCGTGTTCATTAAAGAAAATCGTCGACCCTTCTTTTTTCCCCGGCCCCAAATTGGCCTCGAAGAACACCGGGGAGGGGAAAATTAATCCTAATCGTCAATTAGCAAGAGTATTGTGTTTCAATAATTTTTTTTTTTTTTTTTTTGCAGAGCGAAGTTTGTTCGAGCGCACTCACCGACGTCATCCATGCTGTGATCAATGGTACCGATGGGTGCCTGTTCTGTTTTGGCCACGCCGGCTTGGGTGAGTCGTAATTTTCCTTAAAGACGTTTCGGGAAACTCGATTCCGGTAATCCCCTCGCTAAAGTGGAAGTTTTTACGGCTGGGGTATTTATTCTAAACAGGGCTTTAAAAGGCTTATCGGTTTTTTTGGGGACCCGGCGCGCAAGGGAAATCCAATACGGCGTATTATTTTACGGCCGTGCCAAGAATCCGAATTTCTCTTTCTTCTATGTGGTTGATTTTTCTTAAATTTCAAGGCAATGGACATAAAAAAATATGCTCGGAATAACCATTTCGTGTGTGTGTGTGTGTGTGCGTTCAATATGCCGCACGCGTCATTTCCGAACTGGGAAAAGACAAAAGCTCGTTTTGTATAAATAATACCCCAACGACACTTCTGTTCAGAGGGGGTTTGGCATCTTTTAGTCCCCGAGTTTGCATAGAAATGGCGGTATTACGTGCACTGCTAGCCCCCAAACCTTTTCTCTCAGGATCAGTTTTAAAGCGGAAAATGGAGACGTTAGCACATGATGAAAAGCGTATTACAAAATTTGCTTCATTTACTCAGAATCAAAATAAGTTTGCGGCGCAAAAACCCTTTCTCTCGAAGGGTAGATTAATCTTAATTCACAGAGATTTTAATGCTCATAAGGCACTTCGTTTCAATTTAAACTTACCAGAGTGTGTTTTAGGTCTTGACTTTAATTACTAATTTTTTTGGTAGCTTCAATAATTCTCTAGCTTGTGACGTGTGCAACGGCTCCCCATAGAGCCGTAAAAATTCAGCGGCCAGATAAAACCGCCTCATAATAATTAACTTTTTTTTTTTCAAAAAATATCGTTTTATCTATACAGGTAAATCGTATACGATGCTAGGCACGCCAGACACGTCCAATACGTTGGGGATAATCCCTTGCGCCATCTCGTGGCTATTTAAAGGCATCAACGAGCAAAAACAAAAGACCGGAGCGAGGTTTTCGGTACGTGTCAGTGCGGTAGAGGTGTCCGGACCGACCAATCAACTGCGAGATTTACTAGCTGGATATTCTAATGGTAAGTGTGTAATTTAATGCTGCTCCGAGTGTAAATCTGAAAAATGCCTTTTTAATTATGTCTTGGCGATAGGCAACAGCAGCTCCCTCGGCGGGAGGGAGAGTGACAAATTGCTTTAAAAGCAAAGTAATGGGTACTTTAGTTTAATATGTTTAAGTGTAAAAGAGTTTTTAAATGCTTGTATACTGTAATGAGACTTAAAGATCTCTTGTTTTTATCAATGGGGGGGATTAAGTGATTTTATTTTTCAAATATTTTGTGGAACTTCTTACTCTTGAATCAAACGCCGAATATGACGTCATTCGCTCCAACAACCAATACCGATACTGCAAATTAGTAAATATTGTAACGTTGTCAAATTTTCCTTGCCATTGTTAATTTCCAAGATTAAACAAAAACAATCAATCACAAATCCCGAAATGTTGAACGAACAAGGTGCAAATATCGAATGAAAATCGTGGTAAACGTGCTGGAACAGAGCTGGCGCACTTTCACCCGTTTTTCCATGTAATTAATTCTCCATGAGAAAATCTAAGGTCCAATCTGCACTTTTTTGTTCAGTTCAAGGTCATCACTCGACAGCCTCAGGCGGAACGCACCTCAGGGTCCGTATTCTTGAAACAGGAGAGCTGCATTCCCAGGAGAACGAGTGTTCTATCTTTTTCATTGCAAATGATAATATAAGTAACAACAGAACACTCATTCTCTTGGAAATGTTGTTCCACGAATAAAGATGCAGATCTCGGTACGAGATCATCACCCGTCTGTGCATCGAATATCGTCGTTTCGCCATCGGGTCTAGTGTGTAGCCAGCTATATAGGTCCAAGGACAGCTGGTCTGATAAGGCTTTAGACAGATCTATATACAGCTATACAGCTCTTGAAACAGGTCTGATACAGCTTCAGACAGGTCTGGATACACCTATACAGGTCTAGAGACAGGTCTGGTGGAAGTCATTCTTGCCTCCTAGGTATTTTTAGCCTACTTTCGCTTTTTCTCTATACGACGGAGTTCCTGAAGGACCTCAGTCGCAAATGCGATCGTTGCTTCCCAAGCTGCTTTTGATGAGAGCATATCTGTCACCAAGGACTCTGGTTGAACCTTTTGTTACCGTCGTCACCTGGATATGACGGGCGAGTAAGGGAGACTTTATTTTAGCCAGGACAAGCGTTGAAGAGATGAAATCTGCCAAATTTGTAACGGGTTTTTCTGGGTAATAAGCTGTGGCAAGCTTTATCGGTCAAGTGATAACTTTCGGTCAATCATCCATCGGCATTCTCGGGCGCCACCCTCGGGATTAACGTGGTCGAGGGTCCACGTGCACCAGGTAGCTTGATACAGTAGATAAAGAAAAACCAGAGGTCGTGCGCAGGAAAAGAATAACCCAACTTCAACTGAATAACATGTTTATTCCTCACAATTAATTAAACTGGAAAGAATCACTAAAATCTAACAAAGAAACAGTGAGGGGGAGGGGTAACGAAATAATAGAGAGCGTTTCGGTAGAACGTAGCGGATGCGGTTACGCGTTATGGTGTATACGGCACGAGAGTCGGCAAAATTCGGGAAAGTTCGGTAATCGGTGTAATACGGTACGGTTCGGTAATCGGTGTCATACGGTACGGTTCGGTAATCGGTGTAATACGGTACGGTTCGGAAATCGGTTCTATTCGGCACGGTTCGGTAATCGGTAATATTCGGTACGGTGCGGTAATCGCCTTTGCCCCCAGCTCGTAGAAGTGAAAGCTTAAAGCGCTTGCGCGAATGAAACGGAGCGGCCGGGCACAGGTTCTAATACTCCATACTCCACATTCCCAGACGGAGAGAGGAATATCGTCGTACGCGCCTGAACGCTACTCCCCTAACCCGTCGGCGCGGAAAAGAATGGTGCCACTGGGAACCGATCCAGCCAATGACCCCATTCCCCTCTCGTGGGAATGACGAAGACGGAAACTGTAGATCCCCGAAGGCTTGAGGGATATCGTGGAACGAGCCAGCACGACAGCCTCCAAACCCTCGGCATAGTAGAGAATGGTGCCACAGAGTAACGATCCAGCCTGTGGTCCCATTGCCCACATGCGTGGGAAGCGGAAACGGAGCTTGTCGACCCCAGAAGACGTGAGGGATAACGTGGAACGAACCAGCACGATAGACCCCAACCTTCTGCATAGCAGAGAATGGTGCCACAGAGTAACGAACCAGCCTGTGACCGCATTACTCTCATGCGTAGGAGTGAACAAGAAAATACCTGTACTCACGGTGTCATGGTTGTCTGGCGGACGGCGACGGTCTTCTGCACTACGAGCTGCTGGCGGCGGCGGAATAAACGGTTCGGAGGATCACCTTTAGACTTCGGTCGGCTTCGGCTCTGGTGGAACAGCAGGCAGCTTGTCTCCAGGCGTTAGATGTTGCTTCGACCGTCTCGCTGGAGCGACTCCAAATTTGTAACGGGTTTTTCTGGGTAATAAGCTGTGGCACGCTTTATCGGTCAAGTGATAACTTTCGGTCAATCATCCATCGGCTTTCTCGGGCGCCACCCTCGGGATTAACGTGGTCGAGGGTCCACGTGCACCAGGTAGCTTGTTACAGTGGAGAAAGAAAAACCAGAGGTCGTGCGCAGGAAAAGAATAACCCAACTTCAACTGAATAACATGTTTATTCCTCACAATTAATTAAACAGGAAAGAATCACTAAAATTAAACAAAGAAATAGTGAGGGGGGGTAACGACCTGGTCCAGTGACGGTACTGGAGATAAAGGCCTTTTCTCGTACTGCGGTAGCGTGCCACCAGGGAATATGATTAAAGTACCAGAATCTGTGACCAGACCTGAATGAATCAAGAGCAACGTGAGGCGTCTTTTATTTAGCGAAATTGATGACGCTTTTAGTTTATCAGTTACAAGTCGGGCGATTTTTTCCAAGGACCCAAGAGTCGTGGCTGTAAGATATAATCATCGCACTCTTTTCGAAACCGACTGATAACCCTTGGCTCTTGGTACAGTTTCATCAGAAATTTGGCAATTTAATCTAACTGGTAAAAAAGCCAATTAATTGTATTATGAAGCAAAAAGAAAGAAAAAGGACTTTTAGGCCGGTTTGTTACACTTTTTTTCAAGGACAATCTCCCAGGGACTGCGTGACGTGTTGAAACGAGAACACGTGAAGAATACGTGCTCCGCATCTTCATTGACCCCTGTTCACGCTGGACACTCCAGAAAATCATCATGCTTGAATTTGTGAAGATACTTGTGGAAACACCCATGTCCTGGAAGCATCTGCGTCAAGTAGTAATTGACCTCCCCGTGGTTTCGGTTTAGTCAAGCATCAACCTGCGGGATCAGACGATGAGTCCATCTCCGTTTGGTCGAGGCGTCCCACAGCAATTGTTACGGCGTATACTATTCCGTCTCGCTTCTGTTCTCAGCACTACTGGGCTGTATGTAGTTGATCCTTTCTGCCGGTACAGGAATCTTCATTGTTCGGCAATTACTTCAATAGGCAGCATCCCGGCGATGACACACACTGCGTCTTCGGACACGGTGCGGTACGCGCTTGCATTTCTGAGGGCGCTTAGCCGGTAGAATGGTGCTATTTTTCGTTGCGACTCGTTTCTACAACGCGTCAGTCCAGATAGCAATACTATAAGTAATTACAGATGTAACCACTGATGACAATAAAAATCTTCTTGTCTGATTTGGGCCTCCTATATTAGGCCTTGATAGGATGGTTCTGACGCCTGACGCTTTGGTGCTTTGCTTGCTGCTTGAAGTTTAGTCAGGCATCTATCATCATTCCCAAATTCCGAATAAACGGCTAGGATGTGAGCCATACTCCCCGAATTGCAGCTTAATCGTCGCTACTTTCTTTCTACTAGTAATCAGCACCGCTTCGGTTCTATGTTCTGCTAGCTTCAGGCCAACCGAGTCCATCCACACAGATATCCTCTCAAAAGTCATATCGAAGATGGAGGTAATTTCTTCTTGGTGTTTTGCTACTATCACCACGGCTATGTCGTCTGCGAATGCCACGACTCTCGCCCCCTTGGACAGCATCAGCTTCAGAAGCCCATCGTACATGATATTCCATAGATAGGACGCAGGACTGACCCCCCATCTTTGAGAACAATCTTATGTCATACTTGAGGATTCTGTCGGTGAAGTAGCTAGCTGATATCCTCCGTAGGAATCCAGGCACGGCCATCTTGCCAAGAGCATCCATGATGCAGTCCCATCTGGCTGAATTGGAAGCATTCTTTATATCCAGGGTCACAACCAGACAGTACTTCTTCGCACCTCCTTTCCATCTTGCCCCTGATATCGTTTCTTTGGCAGTGTTGAACGACGAGGTCAATAGCTTCAAGGGTGGAGCGACCATATTGGTTTTCCGCTAGTAGGAGATAAAAGGATAAAAGCAGCGGTATTATCCTCGTATGAACGATACGCTCGAGAATTTCACCAGTGTGTAGAAGTTCCGGCTGTTCAGGAAACAGTACTGAGACGATCTTCTGCAATATCTTCTCTAAGAGTTTGGGGTAAGTTGGTGATGGCATTGGCTGGTTTTTAAGCTGCGTCATGACCACCTTGTACGGCCTGCCTCACGGATCACAGTCGACTTAGTCTAGCAGCTCACTCCAGCATTTCTTCTTCTTGAACAGTAGAGATAGTAAGGTCGTTCACCATCATACCGTGCACCGGTGCAACCATCTGCCAGTTGATAGTAAGTTCAATCACCATCCCGCCGCGCACCGGTGTTAGTGTCTAACCCAAGTGACGTCATCTATCAATGCTAACCTACTCCGGGCTACTTCACCTAAGCCCAAGTGGCGCTATCTGTCAACCTAGCGGGGGCACCTGAGCCTAGGAAATTTTTCGATACTGTGGGAAAATCTCTAGATTGGCGCGCCTTTGATCTGAAATTTCGGGGATTTGACCCGGGCCAATCCCAAATTTTTGGCGGTTTTTTCCAGAATTTGACTGCAGCCCCTTATCTCATGTTGTCA